TAATAAGAATTTCCAGAGACAGGTCATCATGACCGACATCATGGGTTCTTTTTCCCAGAGCTGTATGTGTGGCCAGAGTGACTTTCAAATACATGCTGGTGGGTATCAGGCTGGGTTTGAGTTGGGGTCTTTCATTCTCAGATAGGACAAAGATGCAAACACCTGCATATACATACATATATAAGCACATTAAAACAAATATATATATATATATATATATATATATATATATATATATATGGGCATATACATATATACACATAAGAAAGTATTTGACAAGCACTGAGAAAATAATTGGAGAAGTGTGTTTAATAACTGCATGAATTATACCTTGAAGGAATAGAAGAGATAGCTCCCTTTGTTACCAGAGTTATTTTGAACAATTCGCGGCTAAGATCCCTATAGACCCCCCCATTAAAGCCTCAAAGAGCATTTCCAAACCATTGTTATTCTCCTAACATGATGATAAGAAACTATTTCTGATATATCTCCTTACTTATGTTATCATAGAACAGTAATGATCTGGTCCCTGGTTAGAAACTTCAATGAATCTGATTACATGCTGTAAGCAGAAAATAGTGATCTGTCTTCAGACATATTCTTTACATAGTTGCTTAAACATCATGGGAGTAATCAACTACTCTTTTAGGTTTACAGTTAACACCATCAGATTGAAGAAATGTCCACCAGTGCTAAAATGTCCAATTAAATGAGATTGGAATAGTCACAGTCTTATGCAAAATCTATTTTGCTCATTTTACTAGAGTATTCAAGAGAGAAACTGAATCATAATGACTTACTGATGTAGTGATAGATTTGTAAACAACTGGCCAACTAAGACTCAATTCTTAATGCATTAGATGGAAAATGCACCAATGATGTGCAGAGAGGCTTATTCTATAGTACCTGACAGGCTTTAGGGTATTATGTTATGATGTAACTTGTTATCATGAAGCCTTTTGTTTATGCCTCAATGTTCTCTATATTGAGAAGGAGGATGAAATATTCTAACATGTTCACAGTTGTAAAATAATTCCTTAGCAAAAATTTCGGGACTCCCATTTACAATCGGATATGAGAATTCAGAGACTGCTATGGCAGACACAGAAATAAAAAATGCAGAAACATGAGTACTAAGAAAAAAAATACCTAAGCTGTTAATTACTTTCAAGGGAAGCATGTTATAATAGTCCATCAACATCAGTAGTGAAACTCTTTCCAATAATGCTCATACTTGTCTGATGCCATAGAAATTAATATGCTGATAAGAAAAAAAGAATAAAGTACTAGAATTTGTATATGTTAATGCAAAGGAAATGCAAATGCATTTCAGAGACCCATCAATCTCCTGAAAATGAAGACACAATGTTAGGAATCGAACCCCTGGTTAACTGAAACCTTATCAGCCTGCAAGCCAGTATTTATGTTCCAACAAACTTAAATGTTCCCACCTTCAATTCTTTATAAGGAACATCAGAATCATTTTCTTAGCCAGATCCTGCAGATTGCAGGATGCTGACACTAAGGGCCAACTTGCTTCACTCTCTAGTCAGAATGCTACAACTCCATAGCAGAGGAAACAACATTTTCCTAGTATGATAATCCTTTTTAAGTTGTTAGTGAGTTGTTGTCATAAAACCACATGTAAATAGTTTATGCTATTTTTGGAAACAATTTAAACTTACTCCAAGATTGTGGAGAATTTGTGCTGAAATTGTAAACCTAGGCAAGGACTCATGCCTGCAGAAATCATGGACTCTTGAATACAAGTTAACTCTACCAATTTTCAGTAACAGTATAATTCCATGTATATAGGCAAAATTCGAAAGGGACCTATATTTAAGATACTCTTCTGGTATAATAAGGTAATATGTAAGTAACCAAGTAATTTTTATTCCTTTTAAGGGACATTCCATGAGATGGAACCTATACATAATACTGCTAAAGTAGCCAAACACCTGAGTTTATATATTTTATGTTTATATAAAAAACCTGCTTCTATTTTCATGCTATTGGATGAATGAAATAAAATTATTCCTACTAAATACTGTTAAACTCATAAATCAGTTAATTACTTAATCCTCATCAGGGATGCTTCTTCATGCAGTAGATGGTAAATAACCTGGAGATTTTCAATTAGTCTAAGGGTAGACTGTGAGTAACTTTGCAGGACTAGGTTGTAAATGGGGTAGCTATACCAATCTTCCCCTCTAAAGTCTCATGTATCTGTGTGGAAGAGGATGCAGATAGATTGTCAGAGCCAGAAATAGAAGAACTCAAAGGATAACAGTTTTGCTTTCATACCAGAACTAACACACATAGGACCACACAGAGAATACTGCAGCAGACAAAAAACTCCTCACAGGCTTACACCAGACAAAATTTTAGCTATGAAATGGAAAGTAGACATAAACTACAACCTCTAACAAGGCATAATTTGTAACTGATATGTGCTAGGAAAAATAGATTTATTCCAAAAGGATGTCACTGGTTATATATTAACCACTCATCCATATAGGCCTCTGCCATAGAATTAATTTGTCATTTGTCATAGTCATTAATATGTCATAATCAAACAGACTACATTTTTTTCATGGTTTATTTCTGCATTTTATTTTCAGTATATATGTGTGTGTATATTTTATATGTCTTTATGTGTGTATATATAAACCATTAAATATATACATATATATGCATATATATTTATTTATAATCAACTTATTGTATTTATTTGTATTGTGTTATTTTTACTTATTTCTTGCTTTGCTATTTTTTGGGGTGTAAGGAAAGGAAAGAGAATTAGGGCAGAAAGAGAGTGAGAAAGATTGCTACAATTTAATAGTGAGAAAGATTGTTATCATTTAAGAGTATGTAAATATAGGTTTTTAGGGAGGTGAGGAGAATCCCAAATACATGAGGAGAAGGAAGAATGTGATCACAAAATATTGAAAAAAAATTTAAATAGCTAATTTAAAACTATGAACAAAATAACAAAAACAAACAATTCAGTATATAGTATTATTTAATAGAAGTAGCAAGCATAAGCCACTTAAATGTTTATGCTTATATTAAATTTCATAAAGAGTTTATAGTTGTACTACATTAATAACCAAAATATTAAAACTTATATGATCATTTCAAAGTACAGAGAAATGTATTTTAGAAATAAAATGAACCATCATGATTCAAAAAATAACTCTCAATTATTACTTAAAGAGATGGTATTGGGAAAAAAACTAAAAATATCTAATGTGCAGATACTAAATTAAACAGTATATCTGCAATTTTAAAGATAATCCAACAGTATTTTGTATTGGCACTTACATTGGACACATTCAAAGCAACGATTGTACAGGATATGAATCCTGATCAATATATATCTTAAATATGTGATGCTTAACTTAAAGGAGGTAATTTCTAAGTATTATGAAGACATAAAATTATGTATAGAAAAATCACAAGTTATAAATATATGGTTACTTTGAAACAGATGTCTTCAAATTTGTAGTAAATGAGCAAATATAATATTTAAATTGATTTTTATTAGGCAATGTAAATAAAAGTTGTAAGTGAAAATGGGAGGTGATTTTTGGAATAACATCTGCAGCAGGTGGTGGTGCGTATCTCTGGTATCTCTGTGTCCCTTATGATGCTGAGAGGAATTACAGCTTCATAGATGAGTTTGAGATCCTGGTGGTTAGCAAATGGAGACAGTGAATCAGAAATATATGACTTATATTAAAAGAACAAAATTTAACTACACAGTATGGGTTAGGTAGGTATGCATTTGTACATGTAGGATAAAATAATTTAATATGAAAAGGTATAAATTTTGATCTTTAGAAGAGCAGACTTGTATTGCAGCAGGAAACAGAAAGAAGTGTAAAATAAAGGATATATTTGGAGAGATATATTTTGAGAGATATTGTAACAACTGCACTTCTTATAACATGAAGGGGCAAAAGATATATCTCCCTTAGTTTCCAGAGTTATTTGATTTACTTTTTGGGTACTGCCATTCTTATCGTCTCACTTTAGATCCCAGAGACAATATTCAAACATGGGTATACTAGCCAACACAATTATAATAACATATTATTGAAGATCCTCCTTAATTCTGTTACTATATAACAAAAATAGATCTGGTACTCAGTTAGAAAATTCTCTCCAAATAACTACATTAGATGAAAATTTGATAGGGAATGTCCTTCTGTATATATGTTTCTCTTATTGGTCAACAAATAAAACACTGATTGGCCCAAAGCCAGGCAGGAAGCATAGACAGGTCTAGCAGACCTGGAGAAGGCTAGAAAGAGAGGAAGGTATAGAATGGCCTCCATCAGACACCATGCTGCTGAAGGAGTCAACATGCCAGATAATGGGTAAGCCACAGCCTTGTGATAATGCATATATTGGTAGAAATGGGTTAATAATTAAGGCAGAGATAACCAAGAAGGAGCACAAGCCAATGGCCACACATTTTATATTTAATTGAAGTCTTTCTATGTTTATTTGGGAAAAGCAGCTGTGGAACTTGGCAAGACAGAAACTTTCATCTTCAAATTTTCAGGATGAACAAAAATTCTCACTCTTTTTTAGCTACATTCCCTAAAGCAGAACATAGTGGGCAGTGTTCAGGCATATTGCTGGAAGAGTGGCTTAAACTTCAAGGGATTATCAACTGCTTTTAACAATTATGATTAACATCACTGGATTGAAGAAATATCCCACACTGTTAAAATGTCCAAGAACCTGAGACTAGAATGGTCACAGAATTGTGCAAAACCCATTTCTTTCATTAAGCTTCAGATAAACTAACTCTTAATGATATATTGATGTACCCATAGATCTGGTCATGTATCAATGTCCCATAGTCAGAAATGTTTCTACATTCACTATATGGGAAATAAAACATAGTGGTTGAGTTGGGCTCTTTTATAATGCAGCTTTTGGGGTAATAATTTGTGATGTTACTTCTCTTCATGAACCTCATGCTAAAGCCACAACGATCAAAATTGAGAAGGAGACAGCTAAACACTGAACTGAACTCCTGGTACCCAGTTGCAGAGAGTGAGGTGTGATGAGCAAAGGGGATACAACCTGGATATTGAAACCACAGAAACAGATGACCAGAAAAAGGGGGAGCTCATGGACCCCAAACTGATGGCTGAGAGTCCAGCATGGGACTGATACAGAACCCCATGAATGTGAATGTCAGTAAGGAAGCCTCAGCAATCGATGGGACCTCAGGTAGTAAGTAGATCAGTACTTATCCCTGGCATATGAATTTGGGACTGGATACCACCTGGAGAGATGCTCTCCTAACCGGGACACATTGGGGAGGTCCCGGACCCTGGCCAGAATGATTTGGCAGACTTTGGCGATCCAAAATAGATAGCCTCACCTTCTCTGGGAGGGTGGGGGGTTGGGAAGGGGGTAAGGGGGTTGGTAGTTTTTTATGATAAATCTTTCTGCCAAAAGCTGCCTGAGCAACACCGCCATGTGTGAGCTTTATGCCAGCCATCTGCCTGAGTTAGGGCCCAAATGAATACACAGAAACTTGTATTAGGTACAATGCTGTTTAGCCAATGACTAGGATTCTCATCTGTTAGCTCAGTCTTAAATATCATAAACCTATATATTTTAGAAGACTTATGTTATCAGACGCTTTATTGGCGACTCTCCTTGCAGGTGGATCACATTGTGCCGCTGGAGCAGGAGCAGAGTGGAAAAGGGACACTTCCTGTTTCTTCTTCACTTAAATATGAGTCTCATTGCTATGCCACTTCCTGCCTGGATCACCACTTCTCTACTACATTTCCCAGAATCCTCTTTGACTCCTAGTCCCGTCTAACTTGCTGTTTCATTGGCCAAACAGAACTCTATTAAAAAATCAATAAGATAACATACACAGAAGTACTTCCCCCATCATCTCCTCTTTTCTATCTAAATAAAAAGAAGGGTAACTTATCTTTTATAATAACTGAAGAAAACTATAACCATAACTATCTGTCTTTAACTCTATCAAAGACCATAGAAGGGTGACAATAAACTCTAGAATTGACAGAGACATCTCCCTACCTGGACAGTCACCCAAGTTCCTCTGTAACGTTGGGGAGAGGATGGAACTTGAATTGTCATGTGAATCAGGGTTGTTTCTAATTTAAATTTTAAAAAAATGTAAAGGAGCCGGAACTATTCTAAGAAATTCAGAGGTGGTGGATGAAATCATAGTAACTACAATTTCCATTCTCAAGTTTATTGCAGACCTAGGAATTTAGAATCTAATATAGCAGGCACAAGATCTGCAGGGAATCTCAACATACAAAACTGCAAGAACCAAGAATCAAGTAATCTGGTATGTTAATAAATTTCAAGGGAAATATGTAATACTAATCTATGACCATCAGTAAATAATTAATTTCCAATCAAGCAAACAATGCTGATGTCATAGTCCTGAACTGGATGACAAGAAAGTAGAGGTTGCAGATGTCAAAATTTATATATACATATATACATTGGAAAGTTGAACCTGTGACCATAAGTGGCAAGAAGATGATAACAAGAAAATTTTCCATAGTACATTTTAAGGTCTACCAAGTGCTTCAGTGATAGGTAGTGTAGCATCTGTAAATGTTACTGCTTCATAATTTCACAGACTTTAGGGTTGCTAGGAAAAGTGACAATGGCATAGCAATTCCCACAGTGATCTTCCAGGGGAAAAAATAACCAGACTCCCCTAGTGCATGAAGCACACTAAAGTCTAAACTGGATTATCTGTCTTGCAGATGATACAAGACTTCAAAACTGAGACAGGGACACGGTATCTTAAACTAGAAGCAGTGTCATCAGAAGCAGATTGCTATTTCCTGCACAGGATTCAGCATCAGTGACTGGAAGCTGCCCTGAAGCAAAAAATCCCTGCCTTTGCTGTTTCCCACAGGCCCTGACTCTTACAGATGTCAGGAGCAGTCTTCCTTGTCTGTGTAGAGTAAAGTCGGTTCTGATCCTACCCAGAATCTACTGAATCCTGAAGTATGGCCAGAGCCTGACTGCTAAGAAGCATCACTTTTGTTGCTTTTGTTAGCACACCTTGCCTCTGATTGAAGAACTGTGTGCATTCAAATGGAACATGGAATGGGAATGAATATGTAAAGTGATCTCAACTCCAGCACTGGAGGCAGATACTGTGGTTCCCCAGGAGACTGCATCAGAGCTTCTGATTCCTTTGTCTCTCCCACCTTAAAGTGTGCTGCAGGAGAAGCAGTGAAAGTGAAAGTAGATGAAAGATAAAAAGTGAAATATACCATGGTTTCTGACACCAATTTTCAAAAGGAAAGAAAGAAACCTGTGGCAAGAAACAGTTGATCATATATCTGTCTGCTTCACCAAGCATTTTTGATAACTCTATGAAAGCTACATTTCTCCCTGGAGATAGTGGATTGTGTCTCAAGCTGGACAATAGCTTCTTGTTTCTGACACTTTTTAATATGCCATGTCAGATTGCCCAAATGCAATTTAAAATTCTTGAATTTTAGTTTTCTCCTTTATATGTATATGTATATGTATATGTGTGCCTGAAATAACATGTTTCTATTTAAGTTGAAATATTAGTTTTAAGAAGTACTTTGAAATTCCTGTATTTGATTACTATATCTTAACAGTGGCAATATATATATATATATATTCTTAACAATTCCCGGTTCATTGTTTCCTTCAATTGTGGTTGGTTCCACTCATGTCTTCATGTATGGTATCAAAGTACAAGTTCATACTCAGGAAATACTCTGTCCAGAGATAATATGTGAATATTGAAATTTTGACAGAATCACTATACTCCCTTGACAATAATTCCTCTAATAATTACCCCATCCAATGTTCATATCCTTAAAGCACCTGAGTGTCCTTGGATTGGGGATCTCCAATAGTACTTGGGGAGACTCTAAGGGATTGAAGGCCTGTGGAAATCTGTCTTTCCTCTTCAATCATCTGATTAAATGATATAAGCCACACTGATAGTATTTTGATTCATGATTCTTCCACCAGATATATTTGAATGTTTCCTGGATATAATAGTGAAGGATTAATTCCATGCATGTGAAGCTGATGTCATTTCCAGTGTACAATTGTAAACTAAAACCAATCACACATTTCTTGCATGTAGAGGTATATTACCAATGTCACATTAAAATACTATTTCTCACAGGTATTGAATTTGCCAATAATACTATGCAATCTGGCCTGTAAATCTCAGATATCTTTGTGATAGTGCCTCTGAACAGCCAATTTCTTCTTGCTGCCAACAATTTATGATATGACATATCAGATTCTCTAATTGCAATGATTAAATGCTTGATAATAGGATTTTTCATACATGTGTACTTTAAACAATCACACTTAATTTATCTATGATTTTATATGTAGATCCATAGATGTCTTCATGCAAGCCATTGTTTTTGTTTGAAGCAGGTTATTCAGAACAGATGTATGGGTAACCCCACCAAATCCTGCCTTCCCTTGATTTTCAATTTTTATATTTCCTGCAGGTCACACAGACACTCTTTGCATTGTAAAGACAATTTGATCTTATGAGGCATTTTAACTTTAAAGACATTCTGCTTCAAGAAATATCTCTCAAGGCAATTAAATCTCAATGTTAATCTAGAAATACAGGGGTCATCAGTTTTTTCTTCAGTCTCTGCTCAGAGCAGTCTACCAACTCCAGTGACCCAGTCAACACACATATATTTCCTCATACCTGTTTTTTTATTCAGACGTCACTTTTCAATATCTATATTTCTGCTGCCTATTATTTCAACAGCTAAAGTACTCAGGGTAAAGTACTGAGCTAAAGTACTGAGAGTATGCCTGTGGAAAATCAGTCTGCTCTTATTAAGGAAGAGGAATACAGAGATAGAAGGAAGCCTACTGATACATTCCTGTATAACTAGACATGTACATCACTTGATCCTCATCTGAGAAGCTTCTACTTGCACTTCATAATGAATAACACTGAGAGGCTCAGGTGGGTTATGCATAGAAAAAAATGACACTTTGGTGCATTAGGAGCTAAACGCTATGTTCCGCAAAACCCATCCATTGAAGACTATATTGAAAAGGAATCAGAGAGATTGCAACGAGGCCAGAAGCAGTGGGTAACTCCAACAAACAATGACTTTTGTTTTATTGTTGTATTAGAATCTGAGTCTCTGTTTATAAATACTGAATTTTAGCATATCACTACATAATGTTGATAATATGAATGAATCATTGTGTTGCATTGAAACTAGACACTTGCTCTGTTCACGAGTAAATTCTAAGATGTTTCCTGTGGCCCACAGAATCTTTTAAGGTAGCTATATATGCTGTTGTAGACAGACTGATCCTCAGACAGCTTTAATAAGTCAGGGATGTAGTTCATCCACCAAGGGTCTGCTGAGATCTTTTCCTATGACAGCAACTTGATGTGTGACTACTTTAAAACTATGAGATATTCCATTTTAATTTTTTTACATTTTTGTGAAACCAGTGGTGTAGAACATTTACCATGCAGGAAAGATGTATTTGATGAGTAGAAATGTTTATTTCAGATATCCCTCAATCTCCTGAAAATGAAGACACAATGTAAGGAATAGAGCCCCTGGTCAATTGAAACCTTATCTTACTGCAAGCAAGTGTTTAACTTCAAACAAGCCTAAATGTTCCCAGAGTTAATTCTTTATAGGAAACTGCAGAATCACTCTCTCTTCCAGATCCAGCAGATGTCAGGATGCTGCCACTAAGGGCCAACTTGCTTCATTAAATCTTCAGAATGCTGCAACTAACTAGGAGAGGAAATAGTATTTTACTAGTATCAGGACAGTCCTCATTTTCTGGCAGGAATCTGCCTAAACCTGTCATCAGCTTGAAAACACAAGTTGTAGGACATATCCTTGGATATGTGGAAAAAAATTTGCTTAGAGAATTTTACATCTTATTGGCAAGCTGAAATATTTTTAAACAGAAAATATATTCTTCTCTTATACAATTTTCCCTATCTCTGTTTCTCCCAGCAACTCATCAGCTACCCTATTCACTGGATATACTTTATCGAAACCCATCTTCAAAAGAATATGATAGAACAAAAGGCAATAATGCAATCCAGAAGCCATCACACTAAGGCTGGATAAGGTATCCCAATATTAGTAAAGAATCACAAGACGATGTAAAAGAGTAAAATATGGAACTGTTCTCACAGTTAGGCATCTCACCAAAAAAAAAAGAAAAAAAGAAAAACAGCAAAGAAGTACAACATACATGCTGGGGACCTAGTACAAAAAATCCAGGCCCTGCGTTTGATATTTGAGTCTTTGTGAACACAAGTAAATGCTACTTACTTGATTCAGATGATCCTGTGCTCCTGGGACCCTCTACTCCATCTGAAACCTACAATCTTCCTGCCAACTGTTCATGTGATTCAGGAAGGTTAGAGAGTAGGGAACCGATGGAGACCTCCAATTTAATTTCTCTCTGTGTGTAATGTCAGACTGTGGGTGTTTGTATCCATTTATATCTGTTAAAGTAGGAAGACTTTCTGACAATGTATGGACAAGAAACAGATGTTTGAGGATAGCAGAATATCATTAGAAAACAATTCAGTTTTCAGGCAAATTCTGTTTAATAATTACCCAGGCTTCTTGGTTGTCTATGTCTGACTACCTGACCATCCAAGCAGTAGCAGTCCATGGGCTCCAACTCCTAGAGTTGTCCTCAAGTTAATTCTGACATTGATTTGCAATTTTAAAAAGATCTGTCAGACCATTGCCTTAACAATCTTGTATTAAGGGCCTGCTTTAGGTCAAAGTTTTTGTGGTTGGGGTACACGTTTCTCTTTGAGTTTCAATCAGAGAACCTTTCTATATCAAACAGTAAAATGTATGTGTGAAGGCTCCACGAAAACACTAGCATGCCCTCCATGTTCAATGAATGTGAGGGTGTTGTCCTCAGCAATGTAGCCCTGCTCTAATTTTGCAGAGTTTATTACAGACACAGGGATTCAGAGTCTAATATAACAGGCAAAAGATCTGCATGGAATCTCAACATACAAATCCACAAGAACAAAGAACAAAATATGCTGGTGTGTTAATCAGTTTCAAGAGAAATATGTAATACCAATCTATTATCATCAGTAAATAATTGATTTCCAACCAAGCTCAAGCATTACCTGATATCATAGTCCTCAATTGGTTGACAAGAAAGAAAGAAGAGTATGTATATGCCAAAATGCACAGGATATATGAACAAAGATTAGAAAATTGAACCTGTGACCATATATGGCAACATGAAGATAACAAGAAAATTTTCTACACTACACTTGAAGGTACAATTAGTGCTTCAGTGATAGGTAGGGTATTATCTGCAAATGTTACTGTTTCATTTTTTCACAGACTCTATGATATGTAGGAAAACTGACAATGGCATAGAAATTCCCACAGTAGATCTTCCAATGTACAAAAAGGATCCTGACTTCCTAGTGCTTTTCACACATTAATGTCCAAACTGAATTATCTGCCTTGCACATGAAACAACACTTCAAAACTGAGACATCGACAAAATGTCTTAAGAGAAGCAGAAGCATCAGAAGCAGGATGCTGTTTCCTGCAGAGGAGACAGGATCAGTGACTGGGAGCTGTAATGCTGTAAATCAAACAATCCCTGACTTTGCTGATTGCCACTGGAACTGACTCCTATAGATGTCAGGATCAGGCTGCCTTGTCTGGTTCAGTGGCTCTGGCCATACCTAGGAGCTACTGTTTCCTGGGTATGGCCAGAGCCTGGCAGCTTAGAAGCCACAGGACTCTCGCTTTTATAAGCACTCCCTGTCCCTGATTGAAGGATTGTGTGCATTCAAATTTATTATCAAATAGGAACCAATGAGAAGAGTGGTCTCATTTCCAGCACTGGAGGCAACTCCTGTGGTTCCCTTGGAGATCTGAATCAGAGCTGCTGACTCATTTCCCCTCCCACCTTGAACTGTGATGAAGGAGAAGCAGTGAAAGTGAAAGTATGAAAGACAAAAAAGACAAAAGTGCAATTTACCCTGGTTTCTGATGCCAATTTTCAAAATGAAAGAAAACAACCTGTGGCATGTAAAGGCTGATCATATATCTGCTGCTTCAGCAAGCATCATTGCTATCTACATGAAAGCTCTGTTTCTCCCTGGAGGCACCTGTGTTTCTAGCTTGCCAGTAGCTTCTTGTTACTGACATTTTTTTTTTTTTTGGTATGCTGTTTGGGATTGCTCAAATGTAATGAAAAATGCTGGAATTTTAGTTTTCTCTTTATATGTACATGAGTGTATGAAATACATACTTAGATTGTAAGTGGAAAGGTTCACCGAAAGCCCTCCTATGCTGGGAAGCAAAAAAATGACTGCCTTCGCTAATCCCCTTGGGCTCTGACTCCTGCGGATGTCAGGAGCTGTCTGCCTGTGTCAGTGTACAGCCAGGCTCTGGTTATACCCATTATCTATTGAGTTTTGGAGAATAGTCTGAGCCCAACTGGTAAGAAGCCTCACAGTGGACACTTTTATTAGGACTCCTTGCCTCGGATTGAAGGGTTGTGTATATTTAAAATGGGCATTGAGACAATAAGAAAAGTGATCACAATGCAAGCACTGGGGGCACATCCTGATGTTCTCTTGGAGATCTCCATCAGGACTGCTGATTCATCTCTCGCTCCCAACTAACGTGTGCTGCCAGAGAAGCATCAAAATTAAAGCACGACATGAAAAACCATAATTTACACTAGACAAAACTCCAATAATCAAAAAGAAAAAAAATGGAACAGGCGGCAGGTAGGAATGCACATGAATCAGGATGCTCGGGGCAACATCCTGGCTATCAAAATAAAAGCTACCAATTCTGCCTGGAGATGCCTGACTGTGAATCTGGGCTGCCAAGAGACTCTTGTGGCTTACATTTTCCGATATGCCCTGTCAGTTTAGCAATGCTAAATGCTTCAGTTTTAGCTTTTCTCCAATATATGTACATAAATGCCTGAAATGAAATGCTTACATTGTAAGTAGAAGTTTTCAGCGCAAGCCCTCCTGTGCTAGGAATCAAACAATCCCTGCATTTGCTGATTCCCATAAGCCCTGTCTCCTGTAGATGTCAGCAGCAGTCTGCCTTGTCTGTGTCCTTGTACAGTCAGCCTCTGACTATATCCAGGATCTACTGAGTAAGTTCCTGCACTGGTCATGCTATTGTTAACACTCTTTGTCCCTGATTGAAGGACTGTGTGTCTTCAAATTGAGCAAAGACCAAGAGCCAATAAGGGGAGTGATCTCATTTCAAGCAATGTAGGCAAACCATGTAGTTACCTTGGAGATCTCCATCCGGGCTGCTGACTCATTTCTCTCTCCCACCTCAATGTGTATGGCAGCTTAAGCATCTGAACTGAAAATGGATGCCAGAAAAAAATATTGGTTAACTTGGCTTTGACTCCAGTTATCATAGGAATGAACAAATCTGTTCAAAGCAGGGTGTTGCTGTATATCCAGCTGCTTCTACCTACATCCCGACTAGCTATAAAAAATGTTTCTGTTTTTCCCTGCACTGAGTGTTTGTGACTGGGCTGCCAATTGCTGTTTGCTGCTAATATTTCCTGATTTGTCATTTCAGCTTCCCAAATACCATGCTAAATGTTTGAAATTTAGCTTCTCTCCATATTATCTATTCACGAGTGACTGAAAGAGATACTGAAATAATATATGAAATTATTAGTTTCAAGCCTTGCTCTGAAGGGAAAAATTTGCATGCTGTATCCAACAATGTCCTGAAGATTAAGCAATAATTTGCACTATTCTTTTTGGAAAGAAATATTATATATATACATTATATATATATACATATATATATATATATATTAATTTTAATATATTTATATGACTTTATTTATAGTTCATCTCAAACATGTCTGCATGCATTTGCCATGAATTTTTTCAGTGTTGTGATATATTCATATTTGAATATTATTTTTCCCATTCAAAGCTATCATTTTATTAGCACATCATTTACGTACTGGTTTGCACTTATCTTTGTAGTTAAATCAAAATAAATGACATAAAAAGCTCTAAATCTTTAAGTTATCAGAACTTAACTACAATGTGCATGAATAACTGTAATCAAAGTATGAAAATAATTATTAATCTTAAAATATTAAGCAAATTCCAAAATATAGCGCTTGTTATAATGAGCATATATTTTAGTTTATATGGTATTTTATGACTGAAGTTATTTTATTTTTTATTAGAAACAATACACATTTTACATGTCAATCCCAGTTCCCTCTCCCTCCCCTCCTCACCTGCTCCCCCACCCCCTCACAGTCTCTTTCTGCTCCCCATGGGCAATTCTCAAAGTGCTGTATCATTTGGAGCAGTGCCTAGACTCCCCGTCCCCCCCATGAGTCTAGGCTGAAAGAGTATCTCTCCATGTGGAGAGGGCTCCCAAATTCCATTCCTATACTAGGGATAAAACTGGTCCACTACCAGAGACCCCATAGATTGCCCAGACCTGCAAACTGGAATTCTCTCTTAAGAGATCTTGAACAGTCCTATGCTGGTTTACCAGCTATCAGTCTGGTATCCATGAGCAACCCCTTGTTCAGGTCAGCTGTCCCTGTGGGTTTCTCGAGTCTGATTATGACCCCTTTGCTCATCATTTCTCCCTCTCTTCAACTGGTTTCCAGAGTTCAGCTCAATGTTTAGCTGTGGGTGTTTTCCCCTGCTTCCTTCAGCCACTTAATGAAGGATCTAGGATGATGTATGAGGTAGTCATCATTATCATTATCAGAGAAGGGCATTTAAGTTAGCTTCACAACTAAAGCTTAGACTGTTAGTTGGGGTCAATATCGAGGATGTCTGGTTATTTCCCTAGTTGACTATAATTATCAACATGTCATGACGTTCCCTTCACTAGAGTTCTTCTCCAATCAATATTCCTTCCCCCAGTTTACACAGGAGATTACACTTTGGAGGGCAATACATGCATCCCTTTTAGGGTACTCATTGTAACCCAACTTCTCTGGGACTGCAGATTTATTGAAAACTTTGCTTTATAACTACTATCCACTAAGAAGTGACTGTTTAGTATGTTTGTGTTTCTGGGTGCAGGTTTCCTAACTCAGCATAACTTTTTCAAGTTCATGTGAATGAAATTTCATAGAATATTACAATTTTGTGAATATTCAGTACCTTCCCTGAATAGAGCTAGTATACAGGAGGAAATCTGCCATGCCTCTTTCATCAGCTGATTAAATAATAAAAGCCACTTCGATAACCTAATGGCTTCCGGATTCAAACATGGGTTAATTAGTTGTTCCCTTGTGATGACATATTATTATTTATTAAACCTTCCCTGAGGATTCAGAAGGCAAAGTAAATCTCAATTATAGAGATAAGTCATTGGTGGTGCACATCTTGAATTGCAAGCCTCATGAGATATATTCCATGATTTATAGTAAAATAATTATGAATGCACATATAAATATCTGCATCTTAGTTATATGTTCTGTTAATAAGGTTACTTTACCAATTTCTTACACTATAGAATACTTAGATACTGTTCCTTAAGCCATTAATAAACATATCATTTCTACTCATATCACTCCTGCTGTGTTAATGTCAAAATGACAGCTAACGAACAACAAAAAATCTTGGTAAACTTGATGAATTCACCAACTTATCCAAATCTTACAAATTACCAACATTTAGGCCTTATTAGTTTATTGGTAACTTGGCTCTAAAAGACATGTCTGAAGTTCACTGTAGCTTGCTTGACTGAAGCAGACATATATTATACATGCTCAATATTAGACCCCAGTCAGCTATACATGGCTATATGGTCCATGGACCCAGAAGCAAAGCTTTTCTCTGCAACTTCCTGAAGCCATAGGATTTCTAGATGTGTTATCAAAATTTACCCTGATAGCCACAAACCACATTGAATGTAACTCTCTAAAAACAACATTTTACACAATTTCACAAGTGCTCAATTCTGTAAGGACTTACATTATTGTGTCCAACCACACCCAATAAATACACTAAATTCTCCTTTATAACTAAACCAATAAAATCTTACATGGAACAGGCAAAATCAATTTATGGTACTAAAGAAAAAATTGTGTTGGACCAAAGTGTCTTGAAAGAAGAACTGGGAATTTTAAAGCACAGAATTTTGAAATTTTGAATACACAAAAACCACAAAACAATAGAAACCAAAAACAACCAAACAAAATGTTTAGCACAATCACAGCATAAATTGCCATACCAACACAGATGAATCTCTCTCAACTTTTCACAGTTAGCAGAAGAGTTATAGACAAATGATGAGCGCTGAGATACAGAGAACCCATTTCTAGTCTACAATATTACTCACAGATCTGTCCTTTAAAAATGTAAATGCTAAAACTATCACTTATTAAAACCACTTTAACAACACTGTGTGGGTTACTTAGGTATAAAATTTTACATGTAGAATAAAATAATTTTAATAAGATGTAGTATTTATATTGACATGAAGGAAAACAGACATGGTATTGTAGGAGGAAGCTGAATTATGTGTGAAATAACATAAATAATGTGCTCAAGTATGAATTCTCAAATAGGACAAAGATGCAGAAACACACACATATATATGTAAACAGATTGAAAAAAACGTATATATACAAATAAATATGAATATACATATATACACATAAGAATGTATTTAATAGGCACTGAGAAAATACTTGGAGAGGTATGTTTAATAACTGCATGTCTTATACCATGAAGGGATAGAAGTGATATCTCTCTTAGTTACCAGAGTTACTTTGATCACTTGGTAGCTAAGGGCATTCCCATAGACCCTCACTAGAGCCTCAAAAAGCATTTCCACATCATGGTTATATCTCCTAACACGATGGTAAGAAACAATTTCTGGCATTTCTCCTTACTTATGTTATCATAGAATAGAAACCCATCTGGTCCCTGGTTAGAAACTTCAATGAATCTGCCCTAGCAGAAAATAGTGATCAGTCTTCAGCCATATTCTTTACACAGTGGCTTAAATATCATGGGAGTAATCAATTACTCTTTTAAGTTAATAATTAACTCCATGAGATTGAACAAATATCCACTACTGCTAAAATGTCCAGTAAACTGGGACAGGAACGGTCACAGACCTATGCAAAAATGATTTCTCTCATTCTGTTAGAGGAATAAAGAGTTCCACTAAGTTGTAATGGTATATTGATATACCAATATATCTGTGAAATAATTGCCTTAATCAGTTATTACTTCAATCACAGATAGGAAATAAAATGAGGATTTGAAGATGGGCTCTTTCTCATGACCTGACAGGCTTTGTCCTACTATGTGATGATGCTACTTGTCTTCATCGAGCCCCATCACTACAGGCTCATGAAGTATTTTCAGAAGGAAGCAGAAAGATTCTAACCGATTCAGAAGTGGTGGATGATGGTGCTGTCCTGTAGCCTCCACTTTACTATCAGATATAGGAATTCAGAGTCTGAGGTAGCAGACACAGATCTTCACAGGGTCAAAATTTACAAAAAGACCACAACCAAGAACAAAGACTTGTGAATTTTAATTAATTTCAAGGGATGTATATAATAAAACATTGTCAATATCAGTAAATAATTGATTTCCAACAATTATTTCCAACCTGATACCTGGCCTGGTGTCATGGAGATGAATGCACTTACTAGAAAAATATAACAAAGTCCTAGAGTTTTTATATGCCAAAATACGATGGAAATGCATACAAAGATTGGTAAATGCAAACTGTGAGCATAAATGGCAACAAGATGAAAACAAGTGAATTCCCTGTACTATATTTCATTGTGCCTGCAGTAACAGGTAGGGTGGCATCTGCAAATGTTACTGCTTGATATTTTCACGGATTCTAAGTGTTGCTGGTAAAAACTGACAACTCTGTAACATTTCACACAGTGGTTCTCCCAGGGAACAGAAAGGAGCCTGACTCCCATATTGTCTGTCAGGTAGTAAAGTCTGAAATGGATTGTCTTCTTAGCAGAGGGTGTAGAACTTCAAGAGTGGGACAGGGGTATCACATCTTAAAAGAGAAGCACTATCTCAGAAGCAGAATGCTACTTCCTATACGGGAGACAGGAACAGGTGCTTGGGAGCCTGGGAATGAAACAATCCCTGACTTTGCTGATTCCCCTGGGTTCTGTCTCCTGTAGAGGTCAGGAGCAGTCTGCCTTGTCTGGGTCAGAGTACAGTCGGGCTCGGGATACACCCAGGAGCAACTGAGCCATGGAGTATAGCACGAGCCCGACTGGTAAGAAGCTGCCCTGTGGATGCTTTTATAAGCACCCCTTGCCTTTGATTCAAGGGCTGTGTACATTTAAGTTGGGCATGGAGCCAATAAGA